AATATGAAGAACATTCATAAAAGCTCCCTCTCTAAACCAACCTATTAGCCCAAAAGAAATTGCTTTTAAAACAACTCTTATTCTCTAGAGAATATTAAAGAAAGAAGCCAAAGCTAGTTGAAGATCTTCGGCTTGAATGTTTGTATCTTGTTGACTGTTACGCACTACAATATTCTAGTGTCTTTAAAAAAGTACCTATCTCAAAATAATCCAAACAAGGATAGCTGTATTATCTATCATATTTTCAATGTAAATAAGGGCTTGACTTCAAAAAAAAAAAAAAAAGCATTAAAGCTTTACTCTGAACAAATACATAATCAAAGCTTGTGCTTCCCATGTGTCTACTTGCTAAAATGGATAAGAGAAAACAGCTCCGACAAACCTTCCTACAGCAAAACTGCTTTATTATCTGTTAAGCAGAAGAGCGATGAGAGTCCAGTTAAGCAGTATGTGTTAGGCTATATTGATTACATGTACCGTGACTAGTATTTCCAGACAAAATAAATGAAAACAAAAGTTTAGCAACATTGATATACTAAGACTAGACCATCTGGGGGAAAAAGCCTGAAATATCTACGGCATACTGATAGTTTCAGTACAAGTTCTCATTCCAGGAATTGGGGGGGGGGGGACAAAAAACAAAAAACCTTGTTTACTGCATTCTGTGAAGTCAAATGAAACTTCAGTTACGCAGCTATTTCCAAGGTCACTGTGGAAATCCAACATTCAGTCTTAGTGATGCGCAGCTACCAGACTCTATTGAGAGAATGCTAAATCTCACCAGCTGCTAAATGAATAAACACAAAAAAATATTCCCTCTCCACCTCCTCCCCCCACCCCCAGCAAAAAAAAAACAAACAGAATTCATTTTTAGGAACCAAGGACTCCTAAAAACAGTGGCCTCTGTTCTACTTCTGTAAACTGTAAGGCTTTAGGGGGGGTTGTTCATTTTGTTTTTACACTAAAGACAATTGCATTATAACTGTAAGCACAATTCAAATCTAGAGACACAGCTTCTACGTAGGTCCATATTAGGTTTTTTTTCCTTTTTATAGTCTATTTAAAATGTTGTTTGCAAGGCTTTTTCCTTTGCTTTTAAATAACTATAATCTAAAGCTACTCATTCAGAGGCAGTGGAATGAAGAGCCACTTTAATTGGAACCCTTAACTTGGTCCCTACCCCAAAGCTAACCAGGAACAGCATGGATGAGAGTCCATAAAGAAAAATAGCAACAAAAATTGTACCTTACATTGCTGAGCAGCTTTCCCCCATCAAACAGTAAAGCAGCTAGGTGGTGTTGAAGGAGGTAGCTGAAATACAGGACATGAGCAAACAGTACAGCTGAACACAGGTGAGAACACATGTAGACAAATATTGTCTATGAGACTAACTTACAGAGCCACCTAAACTGGTCTGCTAGGCAACAGCTCTCTTGCACAGAGCTGAGCATCAGTGATCTGGTGCTAAGTAGCAAAAACTAACAGCTGAAAAGAGTACAAGAGAAGCTAATGAACCAATCAATTAACAACCTGAAAGGGATACTACTTCTTAGAACATTAACCAATTGATTGGTTGCCTTGAAAATTGGAAGTGAAAATACAAAAGTGGGAATAGGGAAGGAAATCATTTTCTGTTACAGAATTGGAGAATACAACCATCTTCATCCAGACAAGCTTTCAGAAGAAAGGATACCCTACTTAGCTGTAAGTATCCATCACATTGTCTTATGAAAGGTTATTTAGATTTGGGTAACTGTCAAACCTGTTCCACTGGGCTGCACATTTTCCTCTGTAACTGTCGATTCACTTAGTGAAGAATAGAGGAGATGTCCCAAAAGAAAACAAGTGTATTTTTCTTGTGACCTTAAAACCACACTCAACTGAGTCTAGAAAAACCTTCTCTTCTTTTCTCCTCCCAAAAAAGCAACAAAAATGATTCAGTAGCCAACAAGCTCCTCCTGTTGTCTTTCCACTCTGCTCCTCATTCTTGCTGTCATTCCTGAAGCCTAGTTAAAATACGCTCAGCAAAATCTGCCTCAAAGATGGTCAAGCCACGTCTTATCTCAGAGGACCCAACAGTAGCTGTACTGTTGTCTATCACAGAAAAGTTCAGGAAAAGCACTTAACGTTGATGCTAAGGCTGATACGACCTACAAAACAAACCAGATAACAGCAGGATGGAAATAAGGAAAAGGTGAATTCTTCCCTAAATAATACTAACTAGATTGTTCACCACCTAATAACCAACAACTCAGCCCCACTGCTGGCAGCCCATATGTCACCAAGGCTCTCACAGCTTCTCACACCCACCCACCTGATGGCAGGGAACTCCAGAACTATGTGCTTTGGAGATTTCCCTGGAAACAGTAATTCCAAGGGCCATTCAGACTGGCATCAGCTCCAGCACCCAAAATTCTTAAGTATGACTCTTATCCACTGGATCTTGACACATAGATATTAACTGCCTTTGCCCCCACCACACCAGAGGACAGAAATCAGTGTAATTTGGTCATTTACCTCCCAACAGTCAAAACATCTGATGTGCTAACTAATCACAATAACCATTCTCAAAATCTTCAATTCAATTGTTTTTCCACTTGCCTTTATATTCACCACCTCCTGGGAAGAGAAACATGAAATGAAAGCTTACATTAATCTACCCAAGAGCACAATTCTTCAGGAATAATGAAAAATTGCAGCAGAAATTCTTCTGCATCTTCAGACTAAAAATAATTTGTGTTTAATCTTTGGGCAAAGAAATCAAATATATTATGCTTTATACAATAAAAGCAAGAACAGGAAACAAATAATGACTACTAACAGGCAATTCAGCAGATATTTCAAAGCTACAATTTTCCTCCAAAGCTGAGTTGACTGAAAACTGATATTTCTGCACTGTAAAAATAAAAGATGCATTATTGCTATTTCTTGCATTTAAGATGAAAAATCACAACACATTAAGCACTGTAATACTGGAACAGCACTAATAAGATAAAAACCAAAATGTGGAAAAAACCCAACGACGTGACTTTCTAGACTCAACCATCAGTCTTACTTACAACCTCATTCTTTCTCCCCTGACTCCAAATCTAAGGAACTTATTCTTCCAATTTTAAGTCCTCTCTAAAACCAATTCACTTATCATAAAGGAAGAAATGCACCAGAGGGAACAAGAACATATCAAAAGCTTCTAATGTGTCTCTGCTCCATGGGACTTACAAGAGCTTCTATCAATCAGAAGATCTAAAATTGACTGTCAATTCATAAACATGTGCAAATTAATGCGTGGAGGTCACATGAATCAAAAGACTAGATAAATAGTCCAAAAGCATGAGTCTTTCATTTCTGTTTGATAAATTGCACTGAATATCGCAAAAATATGTCTATTGAATATTCATCAAGGACAAAGTTTAAAAACTTCAGTTACTTTCTGGTGTGTGCATTTATGTCTCAGGGGAGAAGGGTGTTGGTTTCTGCAGTGCCCTTTGTAAATACCTCCCCTCCCCCCATATACATTAACGAAGCTCCACAGTTCATTTTTGGAAAAATCTCAAAATGCTTTTCCAAGTTGGCCACAATCACCATGAGAAGCTGGAAACTGATTCTAAACCCTCTTTAAGCACTACATCATAATTTAAGACAGAAAGTGAACAGTACCATAGGCAGCTGAAAAATAAATTAGGAATTCGTCTAGAAATCACATCTCATAATACCAAAGAATAATCCCAGGAAAAAAATATGGAATCGCTGGTTTCTGTGGAAAAAAAAATTGCCTGCTAGCAGTCCCAACACTATTTCATCACACATCTTTATAGCGCGCTTACAGAAGAAGTGAACAAGAATGCCTCGTCACGTCTTGTCTTCTTACCCTGCTTTATTCATTCTCCCGAAAAGTGAAGGAATTGTTGTTCCATATTGATACGGGTTGGGACAAATAACATGTTACATGCAGCGGACATTCAGGGGAAATTTCAGGAGACGTCTGCTCTTCTGCTCTTGGGCTAGAATAGAAAGCCCTAATAAAATTACAACTTATTCCATTTTTATTGAGTAGGGCCCACAAACCCTATTCTGGTTGGATAACACCTCCATTAAAGGTACTGGCAGTAGTGACATGAAATCTAACACGCCTGAAAAATATGAAGCATGAGACATTGATCAATCGTACCTAATTCTTTTTGTTAGAAATTCTGAACGGTTATTTTCACATTATTAAAATCCGAGTTATTAAATAAGTATTTCTGTAAATAGGGAGGAAGGACAGATGGACAAGATTTTCTCAAGCCAACAGGAATGCTGAGGCTGGCTACCTGACCTCAGCTGGAGGATCAGAGCACTGCAGCTAGTCTCCATCCACTCTAGACTGAATGGTGTTTGCTGTAGATTAGTTATGAGCTTAGCCACAAGGAAGAGATTGCTATGTATCTTGCATACCACATTCCTGACACACTAAAGACAGAGAGTCCTGCCCATTTGATAAGCCAGAGTTAGGTACCTACCTTAAAGATTCTATATTTGAACAAACTGAGATTCTACGTTTGAACCAACTGTGACAAGTCAAATAATATTTAGGTTCACAGGGTCCTGTCTAGATACAGACTAGAAACGAGGAGATGGAAAAGAGTCAGATAGGTGCAGGCTATTTTCTTAGGTTTTTCACTCCCAGGTTTAAAGACTGATGGGAGATACTTAACATTTAATTTGTTACAAGTAATTCCTTTTTTTCTTTTCGAGTACTAGAAAGAGATTGCAGAAAGAAGGAATTATTTTATCACAGCTTTAGAATAAGGAAAAATGTAGGTAAATCAACATATTTCAAGGCCACCTGCCCAGAAATAGAAGTTCCTAAGCAAGGACAAATTTCAAAAAGCTATCAACTACAGAAAAAAGAGGAAACAATTATCAAGTATGAAATAAATTAACTCTACTTTTAAAATATACTTAATAAGCAATAAACTCAAATAACTATAAATATACAGGTTATATATATAAATACATACAATGCTGTTCATTTCTGAAGACTCGTAACTTCCACACGGATGAACACTTCCGATAGGTTCCAACCCTTCCTCGTCCCACATGTATGTGCCATCAGAACTATCAGATGGAGAAAGCTCAAAAGAGGAGCCAGCTCTGTAATTCATGTCTGGAGAAATCATGTTCTCGGTAGTATGCTTTGTGCTTTCACTGTTGTCATCCACTGTTTAAAGAAAACAGGAACAGTCAAGATTCCAGAAACAATTCAATATTCCAAAATAAAAATTAGTATGTATATTATTGGCATGCTAAAGGATCCGAAGCTGTGTTATAACAGAAACATTTGAAAGCATTCTATCGTAGCGTTAATGCTCATCCTAGGAAGAAAAAAAGCTCAAGTTGCATTGGTTGTAACAACTAAGCATCCCTTCCAGCCTTCGCTAATCTTTTATGCTGCGTTCATCCATCATGAAAGGTAGTTTCTATAATTCATTATCCTTTAAAATACATTAGAAGGTGGGTCCAAAAGTGGATGCTTTGGATCCAATCTTTCAACTGCCTGAACAGTAGTATCTCTGAGAAAAAGCAAGTGTGTACCACAAAAAACCCAGACACTTGAAAACTGCAGTTTTTAAGAAAATTTCCTCCATTTCTTCTTCCAACTTTCAAGGAGTTAATAAAGCATGCCCCTAGAAAAACATCAGTGACATTGCAACTTACAATTTAACTGATTTAATTAGAAACCCTACACTTATTCCCACTGCTTAGAAGTAGTTGCAGATGCTCGCTGCCAAGAGAGGGAAAAAAAAATAGAATTCTTCAGAGACTATCATCATTCCAAAGAAAGGGATGACAAAGCAAAGATAAGAGGAATTCCATAAGCCAACCACAAGTGTGGTTAGAGGAGGAACCATTCACTCCGACCCCAAAGAAAAGGAGCTCTTCTAAATCATGCTTGAGAAAGACAACAACTATCATGCAGAAAAAGCACTGTAAGCTAAACGGACCAGCCTAGAACCAAGTTCTATTCTAAAACAACCCACAAACAATGGGAAGTTATATAAAATAATTACAATTACAGAATCTTGATTTAGTATCTAAGGGTCCAAACAGAACATAACAAAGCATTTACCAGACACATGTATATCAAGCCAGGCATCAGCGTTACAGCGGGATCCTCCACTTTCCTTGAGAGAAGTGAATGGCTCTATCGGTGCTGTGTTTCCACGCTCCAGTTCTTGAATACTGCCCTCCTTCTGCTGTGTCTGTATTGTTCTATTTGGGTCTTCCAGATCTATAAAATCATCACTGAAATCTTCACTCAAGTCATTTTTTTCAGAAGATGACAAGGAAGATATAGATATTTCATCTCCATCATCACTCATACACATGACTTTTGACCCATGCTTTCCTGTGCTCTCACGGAGACCCTCGCCAGATTCTATTCTTTGAGTACCGCTCTCTATAATGCTATTATTCTCAATTACTCTATTAATATTCGTTGAAATTTCAGAGTTCTCCACTATGCATGTACTAGGAGTTGTACTTTTGCAGTCATCCACAATGATATTTCCAGCAAATCGCTGTCTAGTAGGCTTCAGCAAAGAAGGTCGGCTTAACCTGTACCCAAAAGAAGGTGCTGACCCAGATCCATTTGAGAGCGGGGTCTTCTTTGAACAAGGAGCCGATATACCAGTATAGGGCCTGGTAAACCCGTATTTCATGGGTTCATTTCCATTGGGTACATCCAACTGCCGTGCATTTCTTGACAATAGAGTTGGCCTCTGAGATGTCCTAACAGCTAGATTTTGACTTTGATAAGGCTTTGTAAGATCCACAGCTTTATTAAAGGAATGTGACCTGGTTAAAGATGCAGTGGGAAGGAAAGAATTAGGAATGGAATGTGAAAAACTTTGAGATCTTACCATTTTTTCACAGGAAAAAGTCTTACTATTGTCTGTAGATTGTGCCAAGCTTTCTCTTGAACTTGTCCTTGCGGCACTGGAATTAGCTCTAGATCTCTGCAAACCTACCATTGGCCTATTTCCATAAAATCCATTTAAATGTGATTTTGGAGCACTGAGTCCAGAATATGAGGTCCTGCCTGACAGAGTACCTTTGGCAAATTTTGCTGAACTAGAGAGTCCAGGCAAAGACTTTGGGTTCAATTCCTCAGTAGAAGATACAAACATATTGGTTCGCTTTGCTGTTTTTGATGCAACTGAAGCAGTGCTGTTCAAACCCACCCTGAGCATATCCTTACCCAATGCTCCTTGAGACTGGGAATACTTCTCAGAATCAATTAGTTTTTCATTACAGTTAGGGTTGGAGTTAGACTCTCTCCCATTTTGATCACAAAGCTGATATTTATTTGATTTTCTCCAGTTGAAAGAAAAGGAAGACATGCGAACAGTGCCATTGTGCTTGCCGACATTTTTGTCACCATTATTCCCTGATAAACTAACAGTTGTCCCATTTGGCATAGGTTGCAAGACACTTCCTAAAGTTTTTGTTCCATACTTCGGTAGCCTGGAAACCAAGGACGTCCTGATTTGATTTTTTTCTTCCATGAGCTATTGGGTGCATTGGTCCTTACAGGGTGCTTGAATCTGAGAAGAAGAAAGAGAACATTAGACCTGAATCAATGACATATTAAACAATAGATGCAAACATAAAGCTTTATGTTTACCATATCCCCAAAAAATGCTAGTTACCAGAAGTCATTTGGCAGCAATATGGTATTCAGGTTGTGCACGCATGCATGCATACGCTGTCTCTCCGTCTCAAGATTTTAGTTCTCTAGATAAACCGCATTTTTTAATTTGTCCTCTCATCTTCAAATCTTTAAAATAAGCTTGAAAAAGAAAATCATTATTTTCTTTGCCTATTTCGAGCAGCAAACTAAGTACTTCAACTCTACTACAACTACTAAAGTACAAACTTAAGATTTTATATTTAAAAAGTAGTAAGTTGAACATGGCACAGAGCTGTGGTCAGCAACCCTAACCTGCAAGAGCCACAAGGCAGAAGTGTGGTCAAAAGCTTATTTTTTCAAAAAAATATTTGTTTTCTCCTTATCAAGACTATTTCCCATTATACCAGTCATAGCAGCCATTACAGTAAAAGGAATTCTGAAGCTGGACACAACATATCCTCAAGTACAAATGAAAAACAGAAGTAACAGAACAATACTATTGAAGGATATCTTTAAAAAAGCATTCCAAATGATTCAGTTATTATCTGAGGAACTTCTCAACTCTTCATGTAAGTGCGAGATTTGAGAAAATAGGGAAGTTTGGTTTTTTTAAAGCATTTTAGGAACAAAACAGTGACACGAATCAGATTCCCATTAGCAGAAGCAGTATAGTTCACAGAAAGTCTATTATTTATAAAAATATCAAACGCACAGACCATACAAACATGGTTCTGAAAATCAACTTCTGAGAAAAGCCTCACTACTGAAGAAAGCTACTTATATTATGTATGAGTTATCCATCATTAAATACCAAAAATTCACTATTTCTGTCACATGGTGATACCATGAAGGCAAAAGGTGCATATCTTAACAGTAGCCTCATTCAAGATGAAGACTCCTAGCCAATTTTTCTCTTCTCATGGAAGCTGTAGTCTATTTTGGTCATCGTCTCATTCATCTACAAGACTTGAGGTAAAGGGCCACAGCTGCATGTGGTATTCAAGATACCAATTCTTAGCAAAGGTCAGTGTTTATAAGTGAATCTAAAAATATTACTTCTGTGCAGTGATACATGAAAACGTAAAGCTAGACACAGAAGTCTGAGATGAAAAAAAAAAAGATGGCATCCATTTCCTTACATCTGAGAATTTCCCTCCCTTCTCCCTCATTAAAAATACAGGGATTCCACTACAGTCTTTACTAAAGATTTGTTGTATCTCAACTTACAGTCATGTCGATTTGGTACATTTTAAATCTCACTCCTATTTTATAAAGCCATATCTTCTTTATAGAGATATCTTTGCCATAAAATTTCTTGCCTTGAGAACTCCTATCTGCTTGCTTTGATATAGCACTTGTTTTTTCCACACACAAACCACTTATCTACATATTCATCCTATAATTTTTACAGCTAACTACATCAGTATCATCCTTTAGCACAGTATTTAGCCTGTGGCTTTTCCTGACATTATAACATGAAGAACTTGTCTAAATACTATTCATTAAAGGCTTGAAATTCAGATAATAAGGCTTTGAGAAGTCTCCAAGTCTCAATGTTGTATATCTCAAGACAAGCTTTATCCTTGTGTTAAACTCTGTATTTGCAAGATAAGGGTTCTGTTTTTTTCAAGATAGTTGTAAAAGGATATTTTGCTTTTGCTAGTCTGGATTTTATATATTAGTCTGTTCCAACTGCTGCTCTTACAGTGGTGCCAAGACAGATAATAGTTCATATGTTACTCCCTCAAACTAACATTGGTATTTCTCTCTCAGATCTACACACAGCTAGTGGGTTTGGAAAAAATAGCATTAAAAAATGGTAATCATGATGAGAATCAGCATATAGCAAGTACTATTACACTTATTCAAGATACAGGAAAAATCTTGCACAGCCATAGCAAGCATTACATTAAAGTGAGTCACTCCCTAAGTAGCAAGACCTCACTAAGCAGCACTTCAGTTAAAACTGAAGTGGCATTAAATTCATACAAACTGAAGAACCATTTGCATTTTGTATTTGAACAGAATGCCCCAGAGCTATACTTCAGAAAGTAGATCTACATTAAAAAAGATATAAAGAGAAACCTCCTCACAGAGACAAGGCTTTATTAAGGGTTTCTATGTAGTGAAAATATGAGAATCCACATCCTGCAACCCAGTGGAGTGCATTTCAGTTCAGAAGCACACAAAACAACGGTTTTCAAATACTAACGCAGAGTGAATTCTTGCACGCTGGAGACATAACCCTCACCGAGTCTTACATAGAAGGGCACAAGCTTAGAAGATTTAAAAAAAAAAAAAAAAAAGTATTTTTCCCTTCCTCCCATTCGACTCCTTCTCATATCTTATTGTATCTTAGGCTTTTAATTATTCTTACAGGGAGGTGCTACCACATCTGCACAGACTGAGGCAGCAGTGATGGCGATGTCCCTTGTCACCCACATTCCATACTTTCCAATCCTCAAAAAAAATTCAAACCCACATTTTCCTTTCTCTCCACTATGTGGCTTAATTGCCAGGCTACTACTGTAATTCCCTTCTGCGACATACTCCAGACAAAACAGCATGCATTATATTCACTGCAGTATTCCTATACACCCACAGCATTTTACTCTCAAGCAAATATCCCAGACACCTACATTTCAGGTCCTGGTCCAATGACAATTCACGTTTTCCATGTTAAGAATTCACTAAACTAAGAACAACAATCAACAGGCCCATTCCTCCTTTCCAATTTTCCAGACAGTTTACCTGAACATCGCACAGTGTTACTAAACCTTAAGCTAAACACCAAGCTACACGTATGAGGAAACGTATGCTGAAGAACTGGTCTTAGTAAACAGGAGACATTTAAATACTTCTTTCATTTGTTTGTTTGTCTACAATTACTAGCATTAAGAACACACGTAAACTTGAAGTCACATATCAAACCTCATCTTAAATGATTCTTCACAGTCTGCAGAAACTATCTGGTTGATTTGCAATTTGGATCGTAATATCCTAGTCTTACACAAAGCAGTATCTGAGTCAAGAATAGAATAGTAGGATCCAGCCACAAAGAAGCAACAATCACAGTTAATTACAAATTTTCAGGTACCAGTTTCAAACTGCAACAAGAACGTATCTTTTCCTATGTAATATTTCAGTATTTGGCCATATGTTGGTAGTGAGGAAGACAAGAAAATATAGTGACAGAGGTAATCCTGAATGCCTCTAAAGGTCTGTACACAGAAATAAATCTGGGTAGCATATGAAGGTGCCAAGTATCGCTCTGTTGCCGTGCCCTGTCCTGGACGAAGCCTCTAAACCACTAGAGCTGAAAGTCCAGCTGAACAATATACTGAAGCAAATCCTAACTAATGCTTGCCACTACCTACACAATAAACTCAGGGTGACTCTGTCATGCGATATAAATCACAGATACTGTAGTTTAAAATCAATCATAGACTAACTCCTCAATGTATGTAGAACAGTAGCAGCCACCCTATAGAAAAAAACTTAAATAAGTGAACTAGGTAATAATGGAGGATGTGGCTAGGATAACAAGGTTCCAGGTTAGCAAAATAACAAGCATAAAGACAAAACACTGCAGAAGCTAGTAGAAAAATAGGCCAATATTTAAGACTAGAGATTAAAGCTCTTAAACATACGTTTAAGACACCTACACACCAGCTTTTCAGAAGTGCTGAGTACTCCACAGCTTCCACTGACCTCACTTCCCTAATTTAAGTGACTACATGTAGATTTAGGTGCCTAATGCTAGGCTTATCTCCAGAACACTGTGACCAGCATTTTCTAGTAAGAAAAAAACTACCACAGCATCTCATTCATGTGCTGGTCAGGTGCCCGCCCCCCCCCCAAAAGAAACTTACCTACAGTGTACCTGTACACCTTACAAATGAAAATGCTTTAATGCTCTTTAATTACATGTTAATATCAAACATGTCAGCCTTAGATGCTCATCTTTTATCAAAAATATCCAGTAAAGGCAATAGAAAAAAAGTATATTTTAAATTCCCTTTTTAAGAAGTACATGCATAAAAATGGCCTTTGACTTCCGGATGCACTCATTCATGGCAAGCATCCTACTGAACAGTCATTAACAGATATCCCAGCTCTAACAGAAAGAGGTAAGTCCTGGAAACGGAAATCTTCCAAATTAAAAAAAGTTAAATTAGAAAGCTGCTTATTTAAATTGCATGCTTTATGGACCAATCCCTTTTGGAACCTTTCTACAATCTCTTAGGTGACTGCAAAATTTAAATGAAGCCATTTAATGAGATTACTTTAATCCTCCAGCAAGTGCTGCAAATTAAACTTGAAAAGACGACCATCCAGGTCTCTAGGAAGGGAGCTTGCTCATTTATCCTTAATTTTTTAAAACTACACTGATTGCTTAAAATACTTCAGCTAATTAAATCAAAAGAGTTCCTTTAGAAGTACTTGCCAGTGTTTTATTAACTCCATAACTGTAACTGCTTTATCATATTTTCAATACTAGGTTGCATTCTTTTGGTTCTACTATAAAAATTTTCAACTGATTAATATACTTCTATTACCAAAACTATTTACACACAATACAGCAAGGGACTATAAAAACAAGTTAATTACTGAAGTACAATGCTGTCAAAAGCTTAAGAGCATCATGTTTGGCAGATGCTATTTTTCCTGAATACCAGAGAATTCTATCAACTCGGTACTCCGTTCAGTTTCTGCCACAGAAGCAATGCTGTACAACATATTTGGAATTAACTTGCTATGAGCAAGATTGTTCAGTTAGCACAATCTAACACAGTAGCACAATCTAACACTAGCACAGTAAAAGTGACTGATGCTTTTCTTGCATACCCCAGTTTCTTCCAGTTTCACTGAAGCACTGAAAAAAGTGTATCTGTTATCTGAATGGTGAGCCTG